TCTCTCTCTCTCTCTGTGTGTGTGTGTGTGTGTGTGTGTGTGTGTGTGTGTGTGTGTGTGTGTGTGTGTTTGTGAGGTGGGTACATGTGCATGGATGCGCATGCATGTCTGGAGGCCAGAGAGCAATGTTAGGGTCTCCTCAATTGCTCTGCACCTTATTTTTTGAAACAATATGTTTCACAGAATCTGGAAGTCTCTAATTTAGATAGACAGGGTGACCCCAAAGCACCTGGGATCTTCCTGTCTCTACCTCACCAAAGCTTGCATTAGAGTAATGGGCCTCCACAGCTGATTTCCATGTGGGTTCTGGGCAGTCAAATTCAGGTCCTTGTGCTTGTGTGGCGACCACTTTACTAACTGATCCAGATAGGTATCCAGCCCCCCAGAATTTAAGCGTATGTTTATGGGAATAGTAAGGCTACGCTGGAAGAGTGAGAGGCCAGTGCACAGCCTGAAGGCTGGGAACTAGAGACATGATGATCCTATTGGAAGGTTATATCCCAAGGATGCTGAAGGATTCAATCATGTCTAGGAGACCCCCAGTTCTCACAAGTTCACACAGATATAGGTGACACTCTGGGCCCTGGATCCACATTTGCTATGCTCTGAAGCTCAGGCTTTCCCAGTAATAATGAGATCAGAGAAAATGAAGATAATGTAGGGGCAGATTTGATGATTACAAAGTCAATCATGGAATTCGAGGGAGCCTTCTCTTTTAAAATATATTTGATTTTTGTGTGTATGCATGTGTGTGTATGTGTGCTTACACACACATGTGTGTGGCCATGTATACCATAGTGCCCCTGTGACAGTTAAGAGGACAACTTTCGGGAGTCTGTCTCTCCTTCCACCGTAAGAGTCCTGGGGATTGAACTCAGACCATCAGACTTGGCAGCAAGTGCCTTTACCCACTGCACTATCTCTCCAGCCCACGGTGGCTTCTTCTCTAAAGAGATGCACAGAAACAGTCTTCAGGGAGCTAGAGAGGATTTGGCTAGCAACTAATGCCTTCTCAAGTTACTGGAATGATTCAATAGCAGAGTTAGATTAGACCAATCACTTGCTGTGCAAATATTTTATCTCCTGTCCAGCTGTCAAAGAATCGTGTATCTAAGTGACTTCCCTTTTGTATTCATTTGTTTTTGGCTCAGATGATTCCTGAGGTGTGGGGTCTCTGGTCAGATATCCTTTAGAGACATACAGTCAGTCCTTCCTCCCTTGACCTTCTATGGTGTTTTGTTTGTTTGTTTGTTTGTTTGTTTGTTGAAAGACAGAAGCTGACCTTTATAATAACCCTATTATGATGCACTTAGTAAAAATTAACTCAAGACGCTTATACTTCTTTGTTTCCAGATAAAACAGTTTCATTTCTAGTGAACATAAGAAACTAACAAACACCAATGGATGTGTAATAAGATCCTCAGACAATTTTTTAGTGCACAAATGCTTCTCGTTAATTGGCTGAGCATGAAGACTCTTGAGAAGCTGAAACAGAAGGATCACAGTGAATCCAAGGCCAGGCTGGGCTGCATAGTGAGTTCCAGGACAACCAGGAGTTAACCAGAAGCTTAGAATTTGATGGATTGCCTCAGAAGGGAATTAATCATTAAAACAAATCTGGTCTTAGAAAGTGTTTCACTCTAATCTATTCAGATGCAGACAAAATTCCATCTGTATGCTTTATCCCCGATTAGGGCATCATTGCAGAATACAACAAAATCAACGATGTTAAAGAAGATGATGACACAGAGAAGTTTAAAGAGGTCATTGTGAAGTTCCACAGGCTGTTTGGGATGCCCGAGGAAGAGAAACTTGTCAACTATTACTCTTGCAGTTACTGGAAGGGGAAGGTCCCCCGGCAGGGCTGGATGTACCTCAGCATTAACCACCTGTGCTTTTCCTCCTTCCTGATGGGGAGGGAAGGTGAGTGAGTGCTCTAGCGTTTCAGTGGGAGCCTTGGGAAGTCCACAGAGGCTTTCCCGGAACTCACAAACCAAATCAGAATATCAAAAACATGTATGTAGAGGTGAGTCAAGATCTTTTTCTGACTGTTTAATGAGTGCATTCAATTATTTTCATTTCAACGATTGCAAACAAATTAATCATTGAGTTCTAGAGGTTCACTAAAGATACAGTTGATTTGGTAGACATGACTTCAGTCCATAATAATTCTGATCCCAGCGTTTATGTAATACAAGTTATAACTAACAAACCAGGCAATAAAGGTAGGGCCGGGAGCTTAAAAGAGTTGGACAGCTGGGAGCAGGGCTGTGAGTTTACCCCATCTGGAAAGACACTAAAGTAAGTGTTGACCCCACCTTGTTGCCTGTGCTCAGCCAAGCTGGTGATCCGGTGGGTGGACATCACTCAACTGGAGAAGAACGCCACGCTGCTTCTGCCAGACGTGATCAAAGTGAACACACGATCCAGTGAGCATTTCTTCTCCGTGTTCCTCAACATCAACGAAACATTCAAGCTGATGGAACAGCTTGCCAACATAGCCATGAGGCAGCTCTTGGACAATGAAGGATTTGAACAAGACAGATCTCTGCCGAAACTCAAGAAGAAATCTCCCAAAAAAGTGTCTGCTCTTAAACGGTGGGTGAGAAAAACTGTAGAACTCAGTAATGGAAAGCTTTTCCATTCACGCAGGCACTGAGTTCTGATCAACTTCCAGCTTGTGAGCACTTTCCTGAGTGTAGGTGCAATGGGGAAAAACTGCCTCAGCCAACCCCAGTTAGTGAGAGAGACAGGTATGATGGGTTCCTCCACCACATGGTGGGATCTCTGCTAGCCTTAGTTCCAGAATGCAGTGGGCTCAGGTGATTTCTCAGTGGAGCTGTTATTTGCTGGGCTCCTGGGTTACAGACAGGTGCATGTTTTGTGCAGAAAGATGAACCCATGGAGGAAACCCTAGAGAGAAACACCAAGAGCAGTGGGTCAGAGGCCAGGGCATAAGATGAGAAGCTGCAGGGAACCCTGAAAGTTGGGTGTGGAAGTTGAAAAAATTGGCTCAGGACCCCAAAGACCAAATCTCAGTGCAAAGGAGATTTATTTGCCCCAGAGGGACAAAGGGCAGGGATAAGGGACAAAGACAGAAGACAGAGGAGAGGGAGAAGAGGAAGGGAACCAGGGAGAAAAGGAAGGGGTATTTTTCTGGGGCAGGTATCAGGGTGGGTGTGGGAACAAAGGACTGCCTCTGGATAGAGAGGAGACATTCATGGCCCATAGGAAAATACAGTTTATAAAGATACAGAGGAAACCCTGTGTTAGGATGAGGTTTTAATTTTGTTTAGGCATGTTAAGGTAGCCACAAGGGGCATTTTGATTGCTGGACTTCAATACCTTGATAGCTGGACCTTGGTGGTCAGCCTCAGGAATAAGTCTGGCATAAGAAAGTAACCAAAGAAGGGATTAGACCTTGGTGGCTAGCTTTAGGAATGTAATCTAACAGTTTTTAGCAAGGCATAGGAAATGGGGGAATGTCAAGGCCTACCAGAGACATGTTGCCATGCTTAGGCTGATTAGAGTTCCTTAAATCAGGAAGTGTGCCCAAGGCACATGAGAGGTCGGTTTTGATTATGTTACATGGAGTGGCCTACAGGACCCCAGGATGGAGGTCATTGCTGTAAGGGACATGAGGGAGGAAGAGTGGGAGCCTGAAAGCAGGTGGTAAGGATGTCTTTGGGGTTTCATGTGGGGTTTGACATCCTAGTGAACTACAGATTTATTAATTACCTTAATGAGTTATATACCTGGTAAAAAGTCACAGAGGAAATATCAAAGGCAACTGACAGAGAAGGGATTGATTTTTTTTTTTTAACTTTGGAAAGTATTTGATGCTCTGTGACTTTTTCTACAAAGACAGGAACAAATGCCTATTCTTCCCAGATATGACACCACAGAGTGGAGAAATGATTCACCCAAATGTAGCTTAGTGAACCAGTGAGTTTTGGGGGGTTACTCACAGGCACCCAAGTTTGCCACTGAGAAACCCACCCTAGCATGGGCATCCACTCCTGAGGACGCTTGTATGCTTGCATCACCTGCAGTGTGGTGCAGGCCACTCAGCCTGATGGAGAGCCTTCTCCCAGCAGTTGGTAATGCTCCTAAGCCTGGGAGGGGCCTGGTGAACATTGTGTGTCTCTAGAGATTGCTAGGCCTGGAAAGTCTCATTGACTTCCTGGGCAAGTCTTAGGAGTCTCCCTCCAGGAAGGGGTATTGCATTTCAGGGGAAAGTGGCTACACAAGAAAACAGACTGAATGCAAGAATCTGTTGGGAATACTTTGTTGGTGAGGGTAGATACTGGAGTGAAGCCTAAGGACAAGCATAAGAAAACAGCCTTCAAATGAGATCTGTAGAACTGAGAGGGCACTGATGTGTGTGGCTCCAAGCAGACAAGGACTGAGGTGATATTACAGGCAGCAGAGGGAGGTGGGGGACTCTTCTGCACGCACCCTTTTCACTGTGGGAAGCCAATCTAAGGACAAGCTAGACCTGTGCAGCACTATGAGCTGGAAGCCTGAAGGGAGAGTTCTGAACAGGAGAAAGCCCGTCAACAGGGCAGTATGGGAGTCAGCAGAGGCCTCGGTTGACTTCTGGAACCTTTGTCTCTAGACCGGATCCCAGGTCTCTTCACACTGTCCTGTAGTTCAGGGTGGAAAGTGACACCTAGCAGACTCGCTTCACTGTTCGTGCTGCCATTAGGTCTTTCGGGGCTACAGCAACAAACCATGTCTCAAAAAAAAAAAAATTCTGGATAAAAAAATCTGATGACCTCCTTAGGAATTCTTTAGTCGTTTAGAAAGAGAATGAGCTTCCTTTCTCAGTCCTACTTTGCCCAAGATTTTTTTTCCATTTACAGATTTTAATTATAAAATGGCTAGATATAGTAAAATGATGCTGTACTTTGAGATCACGAGGTTGGAGTACCACCAATATACAGCTAAGGATGGGAGGGACCAGTCTGGAAAGACTGAGAGGCAAGGGCTGGAGACCCTACACGGCCATAGTTACAAAGTGTTAGTGCATCTTTCTGGGTGACCTGGACTATCGTTGTTGGTTTGCAGTGATCTGGATGCCAGGGCGAAGAGTGAGCGATACCGTGCCCTTTTCCGGTTGCCCAAAGATGAAAAGCTAGATGGCCACACAGACTGCACCCTCTGGACTCCATTTAACAAGATGCACATTCTGGGTCAGATGTTTGTCTCCACAAATTACATCTGCTTTACCAGCAAGGAGGAGAACCTCTGCAGCCTCATAATTCCCCTCCGAGAAGTAAGTGTCAAGTGGAAATCCATGTTTTAGGACGTCCACTCACAGTGCTTTTCTGTGTAAACCAGGGATTTGTTTTCTTTATTCTCTCTCTCTCTCTCTCTCTCTCTCTCTCTCTCTCTCCTCTCTCTCTCTCTGTGTGTGTGTGTGTGTGTGTGTGTGTGTGTGTGTGTGTGTGTGTGTGTGTGTGGTGTGTGTGTTTTGCATAAAAGAGTGTGTTTGTGTGTGCACCATGCCCACAGCTGGAGGCCAGAAGCTGTTATCAATTGCCTTCCTCTATCATCTCTGTCTACTTGGAGCAGGCTCTGTCACTGAGCTAAGCTGGCTGCCAGTGAGTGATGAGCTTGTCTCCACCACCAGTGTTGCAGCTAGACAGATGCAGGCATGCCCGGTTTGTGGGGTTCAGAGGCAAGCATACTCTGGTCCTTAACACTGAGTGCTCCATTGCTCCAGGGCTTTTTTCTTTCCTTTCCTTTCTTTTCTTTTCCTCCTTCCTCCTTCTCCTCCTCCTTCTCCTCCTCCTTCTCCTCCTCCTTCTCCTCCTCCTTCTCCTCCTCCTTCTCCTCCTCCTTCTCCTCCTCCTTCTCCTCCTCCTTCTCCTCCTCCTTCTCCTCCTCCTTCTCCTCCTCCTCCTTCTTCTCCCTCTTCTTGTTTAGGTTTTTGCCATCAGTGAGTGCTGATGATGCCTGTGATGTGCAGTGTAGAGTTGGAAGCCCTGTGTTTTCCAGTCACCCAAGCTTCGCTCTTTTTCAGAAGTTAAGGAGAGCAGAGCTTTTGGACTCACTGTGTTATGAAACTGTGGCTAAGGTTCAGTTCCACTCTGCTGATCTCCTCTCTCTCTTTAAAGTGTTACCTGAGTGATCAAATTTTCCCTGTATTTTAAGAGTAATGCATTATTGTCATGACTAGTTTGCAAAGTTCCCTCCAGGCAGAGCTTTTCCTGTGCATTACTGTGTATATGTCACATAAATCAGACATAAATGTAGGGGAGTTTTTAGTTTTATTTCATCTACCAGTGAGTATACCTTAAATGATTCCCCCAAATCATTAAACAACCTTCTATAATGAAATTTTAATGACTGTAATTTACTCCATTAAGTGTTTATAAATAATGTGTTCACCTGTTTATGTGCGGCGGTACCCTTTCATTCTTGCTGTTTTTTCCCTGTCACATGTAGAAATCTCCTTAAGTTATAGTTTATAAATTCCCTGAAGCCAAATTGATCAATCAAAAAGAGCACAAACTATCAAACAGCTGACAGATTCACTTCACTTTGTCACAGGTTTAGCTAATTGGTATTATAACATATCTTGAGGCTTGGCTAACTTACTGGGGATGAATTCAGAGGTGGAGAGATCAATTACATTTACAATTTGTGATTAACGGGCTTCATACTTTTTTTTCCTGCAAATCCACCTTGATTGATAAGTTTTCCACTTAGTTGTTGTGTGATGCTTTTGCTCTTTCTCTTTTGGCTCTTCACTCTTTCGAGGGGCCTGCCACTCAGCTCCCAAATAAATCACACAGGGAGGCTTATTCTTAGTTACAAATGTCCAGCCTTAGCTTGGCTTGTCTCTTGCCAGCTTTACTTAACTTAAATTATCCCAACTACTTTTTGCCTCTGGGCTTTCTTACTTCTGTATATTTTACTTTCACTTTTACTCTGTGGCTGGCTGGGTGGCTGGCTGGCTGCATGGCTGAGTGGATGGCTGGGTGGCTGGGAGGCTGGGTTGCTGGCCCCTAATGTTCTCCTCCTCTTGTTTTCTCATGGCTCCTTTTCCTCATTTCTTCTTCTATTTATTCTCTCTGACTGCCCCACCTGTCCTTATTCCTGCCTCACTATTGGCCGTTCAGTTCTTTATTTGACCAATCAGGTGTTTTAGACAGGAAAAGTAACTCAGCTTCACAGAGTTAAACAAATGTAGCATAAACAAAAGTCACACAGCTTAAAATAGTACTCCCCAACACTTAGTTCTAAGCATAATTTTCAAATTTTTCTTGTGTGTGGCATGTATGTGTATGACTGTGTGATGTGTGGTCACGAAAGCCATGGCACAAGTATGGAGGTCTGAGGACAATGCTGTGGCAGCGACTCTCTTCCAACTTTAAATTGGTCCAGGGTGGAACTTGGGTCTCCTGGCTTACATGGCCAGGCCTTTATCCACTGACCCCTTAGCATGATTTCCTTCATCGAATTCTGCCTGGACATGGTATAACAGCTACCCAGAGTGGCAAGGGAAATGCACTTTGGGATCAAGAATGGGCATAGTTGTTCAATGTGCGGATGAAACTTAAGACTGCAGAATAGAGGAAATGCTAGCTTTAGACAGAAAGTTGGAACTATGATGGACACACCACTTCATGTTTGCCTTAAGATTTTCTTCCCTGATGTACCAAAGAAAACAGTTTTAGTACATTTGTGTTTGTTTGGGGTTGATGAAACTGTTAAAAACCATCAGCACTGGGCTTGGGAGAAGGCTGTCGGTTAAGTACTTGATGCTCAGGCATGAAGACCTGAGTTTGGATCCTCAGGACCAGGTTTAGATTTAAGCGTGGCAGTATGCTCCTGTTTGGGCAGCAAAGGCTGAAGGTCCCTGGCATTCCCTGGCCAGGCATTCTACACAATAAGTGAACTCCCAGTTCAGTGAGCAGCCCTGTCTCAAAAAGTAAGGTAGATAAGTGATTGAGGAAGACACTCAGAATTTACTTCTGACTTTCCCATGCCTGTGCACACGTGTGTACATACCCACATGCACACACACAGAAAAACACATATTCACAAACACGGTGCTCACAAAAAACACAGAGACATATATCTTCTGTTCAAAAACAGATATTTCTCATTCCCTTTTCTTCCACACTGTAGTAGACGTTAAGTGAACACACACATATACACACACACAGAGTCTGCAGGTGTGCATAGGGCTTCAGCTGAGTTGTTTATGTCATATCTGCTCCAGAACAAGTCCTTGAAAGCATTAGCTGTCAAGCCCTAGCATCTAGGTGACATACCCAATGGACTGGGAGGGTTTTGAAAGATGTCCTAGCCTTTATTTAGTCAAAGGAGCCAGCATTGGAATTGTTTGCTCTCTGACTGATGATACCACAGCTAGGAGTCCTGTCTCCTTTGGCTCTATGAAAGTTTAATGAAAATCGGGAATTCCTTTTCAGTTCTCAACCTTGGCACCCTTGGCATCCGGGGCCACTTATTGCTGCAGACCTGTGCCCCACAGGGTGTCTGGCAGCATCGATGACTAGGCAGCTGTCACTTCTCCACTTGTGACAACCAAATATGCCTCTGGTTGCTGAAAAATGTCCCCTGATTTGGAAAAGCCCTGAAAGATGGTTCTAGTTTCTGGTAGCAACTGCAGTTTGGTTTGTATAAGGTGTTATGTTTCACTGGATCCAGGTAGGAAGGATTGCCATTTGTCTCACAGGGGCATGGATGGGTCGTCCAGGGAATTGGGACTCCTTGCTGCTTCTCCCTGCTCCTGTGCAGTCCTTCTCATGCAGTGCTCCTACTTCTTGTTCCCCCAGGTGACCATCGTGGAGAAGGCCGACAGCTGCAGCGTGCTCCCCAGCCCCTTGTCCATCAGCACCAGGAACAGAATGACCTTCCTGTTTGCCAACTTGAAAGACAGAGACTTCCTGGTGCAGAGGATCTCAGATTTCTTGCAGCAAACGACTTCTCGAATCTACTCAGACAGAGAGTTCTCTGGAAGCTGCAACAGTTCAGATGATGAGGTCAGTGGTGGGAGACACTGGACAGTGGGGTGCACCTGTGCTCAGGCCTGGAGTGTGCACCTCCTTGTCCAATTTGACTGTCAAACTTAACAGTTGTGCTAGGCCCACTGCCCCAGGGCTCAGTTCAATATCTCAGTAAGATTGTCTTGTTACAAGGAATTGGTATTTGATCGTAGCTCAAAAAAAAATATCCCTTCAAGATGACATGATGCAGCATCCCCCCTTTTTTTTGATAATGAAGATTGAAATTATGGCTTCACAATACTAGGCAAATGCTCAATTACAGAGTTATATAACCCCAGCCTTCACCGAGTTCTCCAGGCAGGCCTTGAACTCACTTCATAGCCCATGCAGGCCTTGACCTTGCAATCCTTTAGTCTCAGTCTCAGCTGGGATTACAAATTTACACCTCCAGGCTCAGTTTAAGCCTCTTTAAGTTGGTGATACCATTAAGTGATTTGGTGACATTAGTGGGAAGAATACAGAAGTCTCTAGGTGAAGTCAGACTTGATATTAACATCATTATGGTGATGTTTCTGTGATGAAATACATATTAGACCACTATCCAAGGAAGCTGGAACCCTGAGAAGACAGAGAACTAGCTAGAGTTTCTATTAGCTAACCGATGTTTTCAAGATTGGTGAGGTTGCATGTATCATCCTTGTCCCTGCTGTCCGACCACTTATGTAGCATTTTTGAGATGCCAGAAACTAGACAATAGGCAAAATAGTCAGTTTCCAAGACTTTTGCTTCTTCTGTGTGAAACAGATAACCAACCACTTTAGTTGAAATAATACAAGGGAAATTCTTTATTGCATTAGTTACTTGACAATAGTACTCTGGTTTCTCTGCAAATAACATAAGTCTTTATACATTTTTTCTTTTGTTTCTTTTTTTTTTTTTTTTGAGACAACATGTCTCGTAGGTCAGGCTGGTCTGGAACTTGCTTCGAGTAGCTGAAGATGAACTTGAACATTTGATCCTGGCTCTACCTCCTCAGTGCTGGAATTATAGCTGTGTGCCAGCACACCTAGTTCATGTGTTGCTGGGATCAAATCCAGAGCATTGTGTGTAGTAAGCAAACACTCTACTAGCTGAGCTACATGCCCAGCCCTGGGAAGTCTATTTTGAGCATTGAAACGCTATTGTTTATGACTTTTGCCCCAGTATAAATCCTGAAAAAGTATTGACATGTTGGCATTTCCCCTGTTTCTTCACATAGCAAGAAGTGTAATAGGAAAACATAACGTAGCTATTAATATCTGTATAGAAAACAAAAGAAGTGAATTGTGCTTCCAGACCCACCCACTTGTGTCTCTCTCCAATGACAGGTGTACTCTCGGCCCAGCAGCCTCGTTTCCTCCAGTCCCCAGAGAAGCACTAGCTCTGATGCTGAAGGAGAGCGTCCCTTTAATTTCAATGGCAACAGTGTCCCCACAGCCACACAGACCCTCATGACCATGTACCGGCGGCGATCTCCAGAAGAATTCAACCCGAAATTGGTAGGTACTTCTTGCTTTCCCCCAAAATTTGCTGTATTAGAACAAAACCATTAAAACTTATTTTAAGATTCATTTTAGGTATTTGTGAGTGTGCACACGCATGTGCAGACCCCTTGGAGCCGGAGCTACAGGCAATTTCAAGATTCTTGACTTATGTGAATGCTGGGATATGAACTCTGATTGTATACTCTTAACCACTGGGCCATCTCTTCAACCCCCATGTAGTATTTTTAATGTAATTATACCAGTTAACATCTATGAAAATGGCCATAAATGTCTGTAAGAAAAGCTCTAACTTTTTTTCATAAACAAGTAAAGCAATATATATCTAAATATGTCATTAGGTAGCAGAGTGCTTTACTGAAGCATTGAGAGTTACGGTACCGGCATGGCTACTTTTCTATTTCTTTGGTCTTGTTTCAACTATTGTGTAAACCAAACAACAAATAAGTGCATGCTTTCTCAGCCCACATAAAAGCACAGGTATGATTATCATTCTAGTAGCCCGTTAAGTAGGACCCTACGTAAGAACAGAAATCTTGGTGACACAGCAGGCTAAAACATCTGAGTTCTACATCAGATGTAGTTCTGCTCAAAGTTGACTGTTGCTCCTCAGGGATCATGTGCTGATAATGTCACTCAGTACTTCCCCTCAGAGCCTTCTGGAACATCAGTTGTGTTCCATCATGTCTTTCAGGCCAAAGAGTTTTTGAAAGAGCAAGCCTGGAAGATTCACTTTGCTGAGTATGGGCAGGGGATCTGCATGTACCGTACCGAGAAGACTCGGGAGCTGGTGCTGAAGGGGATCCCAGAGAGCATGCGTGGGGAGCTCTGGCTGCTGCTTTCAGGTAGGGTGGGCCAAGAGCAGTGCAGCAGGGTGACTGTGGGGCTTCCTCCCAACCTTCAGCAGGCATCAAAGTCCTTTGAGATATGAGCCTGAAGGCAGAGTTTTTCATCAGAATCTCCGGTCAGCTCTGTTCTGCCAGCCAGTTCACAAATGACCCACAGAGACTTATTAATAATTATAAATGCTCAGCCAATAGCTACTTAAATATATATATATATATATATTAGGGCATGCACCACCATTGCCCAGTGCTCCTAGAACTTAAATCAACCCAATTCCATCAATCTGTGTGCTGCCCCAAGGCTCCTCTACATGCTTCCCATCCTGCTCCTTCTGTGAGTCTCTTCCTGACTCTAGAAACTCTGCCCTCTTTCTCCCCAGAAACCCTTGGCCGGTCAGCTCCTTATTTACAATGAGAGTAACACATATTTACAGTATATGAAAAGACTGCTCCACAGCAAGAACCCACAAATCAAAGCTGGTCCTGGTTTCCTCACTGAAGTCTGTCATAGTAACTCTTCCTTCACAGGGTACCCAAGGCCAATCCTGTCATCTTTGCTGTTTCTCCAGTGAGGCTGTTTAGGGGGAGGGAATGGAATCTGAAGCAGGAGTTTAATAAATACTTTGTGAGTTGAAATTCTCCCTCCTCCTGGAACTGTTGACTTTATTGGGAATAAATATTTCAGTGGGCCCTGTTATGTGGACTTTTCCTGGGGAGATGTGGACATTCATCTTCTCACGACAGCGAGGACACCCATGGCCGACTAAAGAAAGAACTTACTGAGGTCTAGTTAGTGCTTAATTAGGCTTATTTATTAGAGCGTGGGTCAGGGGGTACTTACAGGAGTATGGACCACTTACTGGCATCTAAACCACTGAGAAAGGTCTCCCAGAAATGACTGGCTTCCACTTACATTATGGTTTGTCCTCAGGGGATGCTTTCCAAGACCCCTCAGTCAATGTCTGCAAACACAACAGTATTTGAACCTGCATATACTATAGATTTTCCTATATACACACATGCATATTTATGATAAAGGCTACCTTATTAACTAGGCAAGGTAAAATATTGATAAACAATGAAACAAAGCCATTGAAAATATTCCACAATAAAAGTCATCTAAAATGCTGAACTAATTTCTGTGATTTTTTTTCCACTAATATTTTTTATTTTAATATCTTAGTCTTTTAGGACAAGACACCACTGTTTTCTGCCATCTAGAAACATCCAATGTACCCCAGGAATCTTTGTACTCCAACCACCAAAGCATACCTTTGGTCATCACCAACCTTCACTTTAATCATATATCAGTTGCTTTAGATGATGCAGATAGGCCGGGCATTGGTGGCGCACGCCTTTAATCCCAGAACTCGGGAGGCAGAGGCAGGCGGATCTCTGTGAGTTCGAGACCAGCCTGGTCTACAAGAGCTAGTTCCAGGACAGCCTCCAAAGCCACAGAGAAACCCGTTCTCGAAAAACCAAAAAAAAAAAAAAAAAAAAAAAAAAAAAAAAAAAAGAAAGAAAGAAAAAGAAAGATGATGCAGACAGGAAGCATCGCCACTCATTACATTCATGAAAATGTTTTTATTTGAAACTGGAGATGGTCCCATCCAAGTACCATTAACCCCTTTAACTTAAAAAAATTGAAACTTAAAAATAAAGTGACTGAACTTATAAGGAAGCCTTACAAACACTTGTGGATTTTTCTAAAAGTAGATAGGAATGGTAAAATTGCCTATCATGGGATATATCTCAGAAATAAGAGGACCAAATCGTAATGAATAAATAAATAAAGATAAAAATTGCTCTATTTTATGTAAACTTGATTTGTTTACTTTCCCCCTATTTCCAAAAGTAGACCAGACCCAGATCCTCATTTAGAAGTTACATGTGTGCTGGCCATGGTGGTAGATATTAGCAATCCTAAGACTGGGGAGGCTGAGGCAGGAAAGTCTCTTCAAGTTTGAGGCCAGCCTGGGGTACATATCAAGCCCATTGCCAAACTGGGTTACTTAAAAAGACACTATTTCCAAAAGAGCAAATGGAAGGTCAGATTTGAGCTATGCTGTCTCTAACTACCCATAGAGATTATCGTCATATAGAGTTATCTTATGCAGCCTTCTTGCTCTTCTTGTTTTTGGTGAACTGGTCACCTTGACAACCAGATTCAAAGCATTGACATAGCACAGGAAAAGTTCATTTCTCTCCTTCTCCTCAAATTAGAACTTATTTTTAGCTACAGTTTAGATTCAAATGAATTCACCATGAAACCAGTATACAGCAGCAGCACCTAACCCACTGACAGAGAGAGACACAAGGAGAGGGTTCTACTCAGTAATTTACTTAACAAAGAGCGCTATATGTGACCAAAAGGTGGTGTGTCTACAGGATGCCCATTGTTGGGTTTATGTCCACACACTCATGGGTGGGGTTCACGTGGAAGCCAGGCTGCCCAGAAAGGTGGTCTGGCTTCTGGCTGGGAAGCCCATATTGAGATCTATTGCCTTACATGCCGCTTAAGGTAGTGCATGAGGTCTGTGCTCTGGACCTACTGAAGTCAAGTTAAGTCTGTCCCCAGGGAAAGCAGAGGCAACATCAGGATGCTGTCAACCAGTTGGCCATTGTCAGGACTAGGAAAGGGCCAACGATTGGTTCTGTGACACTTTTCTAAAATGAAATGTAAATGTTTACTTTGTCATTCTCTATGTACTTTACTGTTTTTTGATCTATAACTCAAGATTTACCAAAGTCTACACAACATAGTGATATCCATAGACTCACAGTTAATTTTAGAACACTGTCATCTTTCTCAAAAAAAAAGAAAATCCATGCCTTTTGTCAGTCATTCATTCTTCATTTCCTTCAGCCACAGGAGAATGGTGACTTACTTCTCTGTGGCTGTGAGATTGTCTACTTTGGACATCCCGTGTGGATGAAGTCAGTGTTCAGTGTCTCGTGGATGATTTCTACCTAAGATATGTTTGAAATCATTAGAGGAGCCAGAAGCTCTACTCCCAAGCATGGGGCAGCCTATGTCAGCATTCCACTCCTTATTAGAGCCCAGTGCTGGCCTTCACAGACTTATCACTTGACAGTTGAGGCTGTTCCTTGCTTATTCTGAGGATTATTGCTGGGAGTGTCAACATGACTTTTGGACTGTTGTGTGCACGTGGGAGTAGAGTTTCTCCCATGACTCCAGGCTTTACCCTTTAAGCGACCTCTGGGAGGTTGAGCAGAGCATCTGCATCTCTTGGCATGCCCTCTGGTAAAGCCTGAGGTTTGTTTCTCCACATACCCACTGACACTTACTGCCTTCTGTTATGGCTCTCCTGGTGGGAGTGAAGTGCTTTCTAATTTGGGACTTGGGTTTAAGGGAAATTGGGCATTTGTTTGTTTGTTTACTGAGACAGGGTTTCTCCGAGTAGCACTGGCTGTCCTGGAACTCACTCTGTAGACCAGGCTGGACTCTAACTCAGAGATCTGCCTGCCTCTGCCTCCTGAGTGCTGGGATTAAAGGCGTACACCACCACCCAGCTTGCAGAGGTTGTTTTTTGTTGGTTTGGTTTGGTTACTTTTTAAATTTGATATAATATTTTAATTCATTCTTTGAGTATTTCATACATGTATATAATGTATTTTCATCATTTCACCCTTATCCCCCTCCAACTCCTTCTGGACCTACCACCACTGACTTGCCCACAACTCCCAAATTTATGTGTTCTCTGTCTTTCCTTCCTTCCTTCCTTCCTGCCTGCCTGCCTGCCTGCCTGCCTTCCCAAGTGGATCCAATTAATGTTGCCTGTATACACATGGGTACATTGTATGTGGTCGGCACATCAGAGGCCACACTCCTGAAGAAACTAACTCTTCCTTCCCCAGTGGCTCAGCTGGGGCATGGCTTTGTAAGCTTCTGCCCAGTCAAGTCTAGTAGACATTGTTTGACAGCAGTCCTTACCAAGCTCTTACAGTCTTTCAACCCCCTGTTGTGTATTGTCCCCCTGAACTTGGGGGAGGGGTGAAGGGACCATTCATATACCCCATTTAAAGCCAAGCATTCTGCACTCAGTTATTCTCTGCAGTTTGACCAATTTTCTAATTGTGCTTTTGATTAACTTCCTTAATCAGTTATTGTTTATATAGCTTTTTGAGGAAATATCCACTAAGATCCATTGCTCATTTTTAATTATGTAATATTTTAATTACTAAGTTATGAGAGTTTTTTAATTGATTTTTAGATACATATCATGAGAGTTTTCATACTATTCCATTCTGTTGCCTGTGTTTTCACTGTCTGGATGCTGACCTTTGGAACACTTTTTTTTTTTTTTAAGATTCTGAGGGAGTATGATTTTTCTTTTGTTGCTGTACTTTTAAGGCTTAAAAGCTTACACCAGTGTTTTTCAACCTGTAGGTTGCAACCCCAGGGGTTGAATAGCCTTTTCATGAGGGTCACCTAAGACCATCAGAAAACACTACAATTCATAACAGTATCAAAATTACAGTTATGAAGTAGCAACAAAGATAATTTTATGTTTGGGGCTCACCACAGCATGAGGAACTGTACTAAGGGATTGCAGCACTAGGAAAACTGAGACTCACTGGCTTGGACCTGTGTTTTCTAGTGAGACTTGAGATTTAAATAACTGATCCATTTGAGTTACTTTCTGTGTGGTAGAAGGAATGGCCTGACTTCACACCTCTCCATATGAGTATCGTGCTGTCCCAGCATCATTTGTTAAAAAGACTCTGGGTCCCCAACTGATTTGTCTTAACACCTCAAGAAGGGAAAGAACAAAAAACAAAAAAACTATGAATATGATCCAGTAATTGTTTTTTTCTTTCAAGATTGTTTTGGCCATTTAGAGTCACTTACCTTTCCAAAGAATTTAGAGTCAGCTAATCAGTCTCTACAGAAAAGACTCCTGTGATTTTGATGGGTGTTGTGTTAAATCTGTAGGTGAGTTTGGCCTAGGTTTTTCCTATCTTAGCAATTCCCGTCTATGGACAGAGGGTCTCCTTCTGTTTATTTGGATCTTTGTTCATTTCTTTGAGCTGTTTGTAGCTTGCAATATGCCAAGTCTGGCAGTTATTTCATTACACTTCTAAATATTTTAATTTTTGATCCTATTATAAATGGAATTGTTTCTTTCATTTGACAGTTGTTCATGCTAGTATCTATACATGGAGTTTCTTTTTTGTATATTTATCCTGTATCCCGAATCTTTAATACATTCATTTTCCCTACTTTTGGTTTTGATTTAGATTTGTCTGGTGATTAGTATTCATTACTCGTTGTCCAGTGGTATGATTCTTTTTGAATAATGTCTGCTTCTTTGTGTACTTTTAATTGGGCTTTTGCTGATTTGTTAGTATTTCATGCTTTTTGCTATTTTTGTATGAATTTCTTGTATATTTAAAAATGATTGGTGTTAGTATTCTTTATGTTTTAGCATGTGTCTGTGTGTATATGCCATTAGTGTAGGTATTCTTGGAGACTAGTACAGGGCAGTAAGACCTCTGTAGCTGGAGGTACAGATCTTGTGAGCTGCCTGACTTGGTTACAGGGAACTGAACTCAGGACCTCTGTGAGAGCAGCAGGTGCTAAACCATTTTTCCAGTCCCTATGTTTTTATTCTTTTATTTATTATTAGTGTGTGTGTGTGCGTGTGCGTGTGCGTGTGCGTGTGCGTGTGCGTGTGTGTGTGTGCCACAGTGCACATGTAGAGGTCAGAGGACTCTCTTTGCACTCTGGGCTCCAGAGATCAAACTCAGTTGATCAGGCTTGCATGAGGAGTGCTTTTACTGAGACACCCAAAGTCCTTGTATAGTTTTGTAGTCTGGGTAATCACTCTTTATTGGATACATGGTTTATTTGTGTTTTCTTCTGTCCTGTCAGTTTCCTTTGTACTCTGTTGATTGCTGTCTTTCATGAGCCAAGGTTTTGAACTTACATGATCTTACCTGTTTCTACTTCTACTGCCTGTGCCCTGTGGCTATGGTTGATATCATATCCAGAACCTAATTGCTCTGTCAAGAGGTGTCCCCCCTGTTTTCCTCTGGTAGCTTTTTGGCTTATGCTCTAGTCCTTGATAAGTGCTGTGCTGATTGCAGATGTAGTGTGAGGTGAGGGTACAGTCCATTCTTCCGCATATGGACACTCGGTTTTCCTGGCAGCCATGTAAATTCATACTGATATTGAGCTTTAGATATGTGCATACCCAGGGGCTTTCTGTCTTTAAGAATCTTAACACGAATATCTCAAAACAGCAATTCTTTGCCCCATTCTACAACCCCATCCCTACAACCCAAGGGTCCCCCATCAGTAGCAGGGACCCATCGCTCCTAGGAAGACCTCAGCCTCACCACTGCCTGCTGCTGGAGAAAGCCCTCAACTCTTCCAAGGCTCCCTTTTCTCCAGTCACTGTCACTGTATTCTTTGCAACTGATCTTTAAGAAACGGGCCTAAAGGCACTCCTGAAAGGCATTCCTCCTTCTTGAGTGAAATCTTAACAAAACTTCTCATAAATAAAAAGCAAAGAGAGCAACTAAGAGTGAGAACTCAGCCTGGCTGCTTCTGTCTGACTCCCCATGTCTGCCCCTCAGCTTCCCTCAGCATGGGCTGATTACGCTCAGAATGTAATTTTGTGGTTCGTGTGGGAAGGTGGTTTGGCCATGTTGCTGTGGGACTGAGAGAGGGAAGAGGTAAATTACCAATCTAGATGTAAGTGAAAACACCCTTCAAAGTGATTTTCTTTTTTTTTTTTTTTTAATTTCTTTTTTGTTTTCCCGATTTCCTTTGGTGGGTGGGAAAGCAGAGTTTCAGCCAGTCAGTGCTCTCTATAGCTGGAAAGCCGGACTTCAGCATTTTTGATGTCCTATTTGTTGTGTGCTTCCCAGGGGCCATCAACGAGAAGGCCACACACCCCGGGTACTATGAGGACCTAGTGGAGAAGTCTATGGGAAAGTACAATCTTGCCACCGAGGAGATTGAGCGAGACTTACACCGCTCCCTTCCTGAACACCCAGCTTTCCAGAACGAAATGGGCATCGCAGCTCTGAGGAGAGTTTTAACGGCTTATGCTTTTCGAAATCCCAACATAGGGTACTGCCAGGTAATTGCCACAAGTTTATGTTTGGGGAGGGCTCTAAGTGTCCTCCAATCTTGATCCAACCTCAGTTCCTATCCTGAAAGAGGGGCATTCAGATGAGACTCAGCACCAAATCAACCAGCTAGGAGTTTAATTAGAGCAAGCAAAGAAGCCAGAGCTGGCCCAGCCAAGCAGCAATGGCCCCAACCCCAGCAGGCAGGGGGTTTGCAATCCCCTTCTCCCGGTTGCTGCGCCATCATGCCTCCCTCAGCATGACCACCTATAGGAAAGGGGCTGTTTTGTTTGTTTGTTTTTTCTCAAAACTTTGTTTTACACAGACTTCAGTCTGTTGTGAGTAGACATGTAAGAAGCAAGAATACATACATGGGATTTAAGAACCCCAAAGTTGAAAAGTTCATGTGGGGAAATGGCAACCACACTGGATGCCTCTTCTGGAGGAGTCTGAGCTGGTTGCTCCACTGTCAGCTGTTGATCCTTAAGTCTGTTTGGGGGACTCTGAGATGACCCACCCACTGTTCATCATCTCCAGTCTTTGGGGCCTAGTTGGTCAGTTCCCTGCAGAGCTAACCTCCTGCCTAACATTTATACTGACAAACTAAACATTTCTTTGTTTTGTTTGCCAGCAGGCAATAATGGACAGAAAGGTTCTCTCTATGACTAATGGAAGTCAGTGCAGCAGGGTGCCTCAACCTTGGCACTATCGCCATCATAGTTAGAGTGACGTTGGAGAAACACAAAATGATAGAACTGGTGTTATAAAGGTTTTGTTAATAGATCTCTGTTAGAAAACCTTAAATCACACAAAGTAAATTTAGCTAAGGGGGCACTGTTCCCTAAGTATACCAAAGATAAGTCTATGCTAACCAGACCTTTAGAGATAAGCAAAATCAATGCTAGGATGTCAATATCTATTGACCAGGATGGACCAGCCATCAGGCCCTTCCCCAAAGGATATGCCTCTAACAGGCAGCTCACGGGGGCAGCACAGGGTGGCAGCAGTGTTAAGTCCTGAGCTGCCATAAAGCCCCTAGTTCTCTTCTTGAGAAAAGCCAGATGTGCACATGACCCCAGGTGAGAACTATTTAAAAAGAACTACACTGGGCTACTTAAAACATAGCTGTGATGCCATTTTTGCTGAGTCTCCGTCTGCCTGATGGCCAGACTCACAAGCCCTGACTGTTTAAATTGTTCAAAGTATACCTGGAGCTGGGGCCTGAGGAGATCTGAGGATGGCAGCGTGTGTGAAATGCATCACCCTAAGGTTCATACAAGTTAGTTAGGGTCAAATCCTTTTTGGGATGTTAACTCTAGTCCACCATGCACACACTCTAGTAAAGTGCTTTTCCATCTTCTCTAAGTGTGCAGAGTGATTTCTCACTGGGAGTGATATTTCTCTAGCAAGAAAATTCTTCATCCTGCATGCTACCCAGTGCTGTGTTTCATGTTCAGCAACATGTCCAACTCCTGTCCACTAGACAACAGTATAAAACCCCTCTGAAGATCAAATCCCCTCTAAATGTTGGCACCATCACCTTGATAGACAACTCCTGCCCTGAGAAGGGAGCAAACAACGGCATTTCTGTCCAGTCCTTGTCTAGCTGAGTGACTAGTGAGGGTCTTCCCATCATACCCCGGCCCACCTGTCATAGCATCCTATGGGCAGGGTACCTAGCTCCACACATTCTTGTTAGGATTGCCCTCCTGCTCCTACTGCTGCTCCTTACACCATGACTGCGTAAGCCACTGAACACGAAGCTTTTCACACTCGAGGGCTTAACACAGGGTGAAGTAAATGTTTTAGTGTAGTCTAACAAAAAAAATTGCCCTCATAAAATTAAGGTAATGCCTTGTACCAGTGCCTGGAATGTAAGTTACTGCTAGAAAGCTCCAGCATAATGTGATCCTAGACACAAAGACCACATCATCCACAGAAAAGCTGAAGGAGGCTTAACTCTTAGACACATTCATTTTTCTCCTACCTGTGCCTGTATACACACACACACACACACACACACACACACACACACACAACGTTTTCCTATGCCACATCATTTATCTTTTCTTAACACTTAATTTAAATGTATCTCCAAATTGATTCATTAACTTTATAGTGTTGTTTTTTTCTCTCTGGTGGCAGCACTCAAGGCTGGTGAGCTCTTCCCCCAGCCCCCACCCCACGTCTCATAGGAACCCATGAGAAATGAGAGCCATGGAACTCTGTCTTGCCTGAGGAACTGACCTTGGTCGTGACAATGAACTGGAACCGTCAGGCTAATTCTTATGTGGAATTTTAATAACCACTTCCCTTGGAATACTAAGGCTTGCAAGAAAGAACTTTTTCAGTCAGACACCTTTTAGGGGATTTATATTGCACAAGTCTGGCGAATTTGTACTGGTTTCTGAAAGATCAAAGAAACTCAGGAGCTACTTGGCTTCTGACAGAATAGAATTACTTTTTATCTTTTGATCTCCATTTTTAATTAAAGGACAGTTACCTTTGAGCTGCTTAGTGGTTATGAGCTTTCTGGTAATATCTTTTAATAAAAGTGATTACTTTAGAATTTAAATCACCTTTATTCATCTTGAGCCCCTTTTCCCAGATGGAAATAAGGGAGGAGGGCTCCAACTCTGAAAGGTTTCCTTGTTCTATGCGGACAGCCTGGAGCCCTTCATACTTGGCTATATTTATGGAGGTTAAAGGGAAATATTTACCTCCATTGAGTTAAGGATTAAGAATACTGAAAGGATTTAGCAGGCTGGAGGCTTTGTCAGATAGGCTTGTGGCAGAGGCTCTGTGGTGAGGGCTTGCCTGTGCATGCTGGAGTCAGATAAACAATGGTGCCAGTGAAGAAAGACCCTGGACAATTGCTGGAGAGGACTAACAGCTTTTCTATCCTAGAGAGCCACAAACAAACAGAACCAGAAGAAAACTCACCAAACTTTTGTGGCCTGGAAATCCTAAGCTTATTTGTCTGGCTTTTCTTGGACGTTTATTGACACCTGCAAGAATCACTAATTTTCCTTTCTTTCTTTCTTTCTTTCTTTCTTTCTTTCTTTCTCTCTTTCTTTCTTTCTTCCTTCCTACCCTCCTTCCTTCCTTCCTTTGTTTTTTTTTTTTTTCTATTTGGTCAATGTCGTGAGTGAACTATATCAAAAACATAGACAAACACACGTGTGTCTTTCTAATGCCAGAATTTACTGAATAACAATAAATTCACAAGGTATTGGGGATTCAATAATAGTGATTTGTCAGCTACTTTCACCTTCTTGGCAGTCTGGCCCAGCTTAATACAACTTTTTAATTCCAATTTCGAGATTACTACTATTAACTCTCATGTCACACATCATACATTCTGTCTGTCTATCTGTCTGTCTGGGTTATGGAATGGATCCAGAGGGTTAAAGAGGCTGAGGAAGAGTCTTGGGTTTAAGACACAGCCTGGCATAAATGTAAATAGAGCTTGTATTGATAAGGGACCCAGTCTGACTGCCAGGAGGAAGCTGCTGCAGTGGCATTGGGTACCGGGGGTCTGACAGAGTGGTAGGGCTCAGTCCAGCTGCAGAGGCAAACAGGCAGGCTTGAGTGAGAGCAAGAAACCCACGGATGGATGGATGGATGGATGGATGGATGGATGGATGGATGGATGGACGGGTGGGGCCCAGATAATTTGGCCTTGCCAACAGTGGGAACCCAGCCACTCGGATAACCCTGGGACAACATGGAGTTCTCTGCCTGTTTGTCCTCAATGCACCCACTAGGTATGAGAAAACAAGCTGGTGGCAGCTGCTCCTATTGCAGTCCAGGATGTCCTCTTTATGGGGTCTGGCTGAGAATGTTACACCCTTCCTTCAGTCGGGCTTGTCCAGTAAGTTCTTGGGCCTTAATTTCCTGAGTTTGATACCTTCGTATGCCCTGACAGTCTCAATTCAGCCCAATAAAATTATAGAGTGGCACTTACATACTTTTTTGTTTTGTTTTGTTTTGTTTTGTTTGGGTTTTTTAATTTTTATTTTTAGTCTGTGCTGTGGAAGTGGCACCAGACAGATGCTGTTGTTTGTGGGCTCACCGGGGGCACGATCACCCTTCGTCCTCAAAATGGGGTCAGAAGCTGCTTGTCAAATGGCATGCCCTGAGATCCTGCTGGCTTCCAGTAACTTAAAGTGGGCATAGCCCCTCAGCCATTAACAAGATGGCTTCTACGTAGAATACACTTGCTGTGTGCAGACTGTGATGGCGTCCTCTGCCCTTCCATTAGGCCATGAACATCGTCACTTCAGTGCTGCTCCTCTATGCCAAAGAGGAGGAGGCGTTCTGGCTGCTCGTGGCCTTGTGTGAGAGGATGCTTCCGGACTACTACAACACCAGAGTTGTAGGTATGTGTGGTTGTGGTTAAACACCTTAGTCTGTCTCATAGGAAAAGTATTGTAGCATCCTATTAGTTCTCCTCCTTGGAGCTGTGACAAAATACCTAGCCAAAAGTCAGCTCAAGGGAGAAAGGGAGAAAGGGTTTGTCGTGGCTCGGAATTTGCCCATACAGTCCACCATACAGGGAAGTCACGGCAGAGGGAACACAAGGCAACTGTTACATTGAGTCCCGGTCAGGAAACAGAGAAGTGAATATTGGAACTCAGTCTGCTTTGTCCTTTTTTATTTAGTCCAGGACCCCAGCCCTTGAGACAGTGATGCCTACATTCAGGGTGGCCCCTTGAATCCTAGTTAAACGTCTGTGGTAACACTTTCCTGGGAATGCTGAAAGTGTGTCTCCTAGGTGATTCCAAATCCAGTAAAAAATGACCATCACCTGTATGGTACCTGCTTAAAATGTCAGCAAGCCAGGTATGATGTATACAGCTAGAATCTCAAAGAAAAAGAGTCTTGAAAAGACTTGGGACCCCACAGCTAAAGAGTATTTACATAAATAAGGCCTTAGCAAGTGTCATGACCAGTTCCTACTGTTGTTTGTGATAATCCACAATCACCTGGAAAGAGAATCTTAATGAGGCATTGTCTAGACCAGGTGAGCCTGTGGGAATGTCTGTAGAGGACTGTCTGAACTGCCTTAATTGACGTGAGACAATCCAGCCTGAGTGGGCAGAACCCTTACCTGTTTGGGAGCCTTGGGTCATGTAAGCAGAGAGAAAGCTAGCTGAGCACGAAGCATGCATCGCTCATTTCTCTCTTCTCTTGCCTGTGGGTGTAACAGCTGCAGGTTCATGCTGCCTTGTGTTCCCTGTGGTGATGGACTATATGCTGGAACCATGAGCTAAATGAAACCCTTCCTCCCCTAAGTTGCTTTTGTAGAAGCATTTTGTTATAGTCACAGAAATGAAAGCAGAACACAGCCCATCCTTTTGATTGGGTTCTCCAGGAAGGTGCAGGCAAATTGATCATTTTGTGTCACCCACTCAGGTGCCCTGGTGGACCAGGGAGTCTTCGAGGAGCTGGCACGAGACTATGTCCCACAGCTGTATGACTGCATGCAGGACTTGGGCGTGATTTCTACCATCTCCCTGTCATGGTTCCTTACACTATTTCTCAGTGTGATGCCATTCGAGAGTGCAGTGGTGGTTGTGGACTGTTTCTTCTATGAAGGAATCAAAGTGATATTCCAGTTGGCCCTTGCTGTGCTGGATGCCAATGTGGATAAACTGTTAAACTGCAAGGATGATGGCGAGGCCATGACTGTTTTGGGAAGGTACTATACTATGTCTGGTTTGGGGGCCACCTCCTCAGTTTGACTTAATTGATCAAAAGGCCTATTATTCCCTGTGGCCAAGGACATATTTTCATATTCTTTTTCACTTTTAACGTTTATTATCATCTGGATTGTATGACATGGACATGTATGTGTATATATAAGCAGGTAGATGCATCCGTGTGCATATGTGGAGGGCGTTGGTACCCTCGCCATCACTCTCCACCCATCCTTCTGAGGCAGGGTCACTCCCTAAACCTGGGACTCATGTTCCCTTGCCTAGGCTGGAAGCCAGTGAACCTCAGAGATCCTCCAGTCTTCTGTCTTTGCCTCCCTTAGAGCTGGAGTTGCAGTGTGATGGATACATGGATTGTTGTGTGAGTACTGGGGTCTACACTCCAGCCCTCGGGATTCTACAGGAAGTACCCTCAACACCATCTCTCCAGCCCAACATTCTTCCTCTTTAAAGATAAAGGGAGTTTCTTTCTGTTTTTAAGAAAGTCTTGGTAAGGCCTGGTGTTGCACACTGTAATCCCAGCTGTTTAGAAGACTGAGGCGGGGGAATCATATATTGAAAGCCAGCCTGGCCAGCTTAGTAAGAACCAATCTCGAAATAAAAAGAAAGTAGGTTGGGGCTGTAGAGTTGCTTAGCATGCAGAAAGTGCTAGGTCCAATCCCCAGTACTTCAAAGAGAAAGAGAAAAACAACAAAAAGAAACAAGAAAATCTTAGGTTTTTGTTTTAATATGTACAATTAGAGATCTATAACTGAGGCATTCCAGTTCCTTTCCAATGACAACTGGTTCATGTCTTATCTAAGGTACTTAGACAGTGTGACCAACAAAGACAGCACCCTGCCTCCCATCCCTCATCTCCACTCCCTGCTCAGTGATGATGTGGGACCCTACCCTGCAGTGGACATCTTCAGACTCATAGGAACATCCTACGAGGTAGGTGTGCTTCCCAGTTGTGACTTAACAGTGCCCCAGTGCCCACCCTCCAGCTCAGCTGGACATACTGCCCCTCCTAACCTGTGTTAATCTGGCTTGTGCTGTCATCATAGAATACAACAGTCCAACTGCTTCATAAAGATTTCTCATAGTTCTAGAGCATTGTCCTCTGGAGTCAGGTGTTTATGGGATACAGCCCCATCCTTCTGTCTGTGTCCTACAGGTAGGAGGAACCATGTCCTCATGGGGCAGAAGCTCTGAGGAAGTAACCTGCTCTACAAGCCCTTTCATAGCAACCTTTCTAAGCTAAACTCCTACAGATAAGGCCTGTCCTGGCACTGCTGAAGCAACCAGGGATTAAGTTTGGGGATAGACAGAAATCCTGTCCCCTTTTACATTGCGAGGTTTGATTGTCGGAGGCAGGTGACTGCCTGTAAGCTAACAGTTTTGATCTCAGAGATGGACGCTGAGTGGATCCTGGGATTTCTCTTGTCTTTAACTTGTTGTAAATGGTATGGCAAGCTCTGGCCCTCTGAATAATCTAAAGGCATGTCAGATCAACTCTCAGTGGATTGAGGAACAATCACGGGAAAACTTCATTGATAATTCTTTCCCCATCCCCACACTAAGTAGTTAGAACTCCCCTGAAGTAGATATGACATTTATTTATTTATTTATTTACTTTTCATTTCTTTTTACTGAGAAAAAAGTCTTGTTATATAGGTTGGGCTGTCCTTGAAGTGTTACTAGTATCCCACTAGAGATGACTACTCAGAAAAAGTTTAAGCCAATTGAACATCTTTATTCCAGCCGACTGGGACCACACCCAGGTACTCAGACCACACGAAGGTATTAAAGGCATAAACCATGTCCTTGTATCTCACTTGGCAGTTTCACAGAAGCAAACACTTTAACAGATGCTGAGATGACCAGTTCACACAAGCAGGCTAAAGTAAGTTAGATTCGTCAGTTAGGACATCCTGACCTCAGGTTTCTAGAATAGGGCTGGGTAATTTTCTGTGGGGCTTTCCATCAAGGACCGAAAAGTTCTAGTCAAACCTGCAATGGCCTCAGCAAGAATTCAACATGGAGGGAGCTCAGCAGCACCTTGTGCTGTCTCAGAAGTGAAGTCGATACTCCTAGCTCAGTCTCTCCAGTCCTAAAAAATCCTAGCAAGACCTATGCCACTAAATTTGTCTCTTGATGGTTACTGTGTGTGTGTGTGTGTGTGTGTGTGTGTGTGTGTGTGTGCGCGCGCGCGCGCGCGCGCGCGCGTGCGCACTCAAGCTTGTAAGCACCCACATGTATGTACATGCATGTGGTGGCTACAGGTTGACATCAGTTTTCTTCAAGAATTACATCCACCTTACTTTTTTGAGACAGGATCTTCTTGCTGAACATTTTGCTCCAGAGGTTGGCTACCTTTCCAGAAAGCCCCATGAATCCCCCTGTGTCTGTCTTCCCAGTACTGGTATTATAGGCTTTTTTGTGAGGCTTATGGGAATTAGAACTCACATCCTCATCCTGAACAGCAAGCCCTTTACTGTCTGAGCCATCACACAGCCCCACAGTCACTGTAGATGTTCATTGAGCTGTTGTTGGGATCTGAAGACTTCCCCCACTGGGAGCTTCTCATTCCAAACCACAATTCTTACCAACTCCTGAATTGGGCTGTTTAGTGGAAACAAATAGTATGTCTTCCTTTCTTGTCTGAGTTGTGAAAACACACAGAAGTGCTAGGCAGGTTAGCATTTGAAGATGGCCAGGTCACAGAATGCCCGTGTGGATTTCTGATCCCAACAGATTCAGTTAAAGGAGTTTGGAGATCGACCAACACTCCTCCCAGCCTCTTCATCTCCCAGCCTTAGGGCAGATGCTCCCCTTGCCCATTACATACTAATTCCCAGTCACACATAGCCTCACAGGCAAGCTTTCTTCTAGATAGGCTGTTGACTCAAGACAATCACATCTGACTGTGAAACTTAGCTCTGTTGCTAGACATTGAGAATCTCTGGATTAGTAACTCCTAATCCCTAAGTGGTTTCCAACATAAAGTCCAGTTTAGGTCACTGTCATGGAGAGAGCCATTTATTCTGTGTCAGGAACATTTCCACCAATCTTCAGGTATCCCTGTGTATTTTAGCACACTTTTTTCAGAAACACCAATATTGTTCCTTTCCAGAAATTCGGAACTATCCGGGCAGATTTGATTGAGCAGATGAGATTCAAACAGAGGTTGAAAGTGATCCAGACCCTGGAGGACACCACCAAACGCAACGTGGTAAGTCTTTGACAAGCATCTGGGATGGGGGTACCTCATTTTCCCCCTCCATGCACACACTCCTGCTGCCTCCTCAGTTCCAGCTTGGCAGAACTTAGAAGAACTTGAGAGGTTCTCTCTCTCTCTCTCTCTCTCTCTCTCTCTCTCTCTCTCTCTCTCTCTCTGCGTGACATTTTTTGAATCTGGGAGTCACTGTGCTCACCCCTTTTTAGGTTCGGACCATTGTGACAGAGACCTCATTTACCATTGACGAGCTGGAAGAACTGTATGCTCTTTTCAAGGTGAGTTCCAAAGTAAATTCATGTCCATTCAAAGGAATGAAAGAACTTGCTATAATTGTTCTTGGAGTTCTTGTCTTTCTGTTTGGTGGGTTAGCAGTTCCACAGGTCCCCAACACACATAAAGGAGAAGACAGCTGGGAAAACAAAGCTGTCATACTTAGTAGGAAATGTAAATCAATTATTAGCAATAATTAAAGTTGATGTTTTAGCTCACTTCTTCACTGGATGAGTTGTTTTCTTGGACCATAGAACATGGTACCTGGATTTCCATAGAACAGTGGTAATCAAGCTCAAATTCTGCCTGAACTTTTTGTAATTTCTCCTACTAAGCCCCAAGTCACCCATTTAGGGAAAAAACCAGCATATAGATAGTTGAAGAAGCATGCTATGCTGGGAGCCCTGGTTAGTTTGAACTCACTGTTTCAGAAGCCTCCTGCCTGTGGTTGGCCTGCTCTGTCAGTCCCGGGCTGTGGTGATACAGAGCATCATGGTAAAGGGGGCTGGAGGAAGAGAGTCATTGCTTCATGGCAGACAGGGGACAAAAATACACCAAGAGAGGGTCCAAGGCAAAACACAGCCCTCTAGACCATGACACACTTCCTTCAACCAGGCTCCACTTTCAGAAGTTTCTATCATGGTTCAATAAGGCAAACAAATGATTACTCCATTGATGAAAGCCAGGCTCTCGTGATTCGGTAACCTCTCAATGATCAGATTTGTCTTCCGGGGACCAAGTTTTTAACATACGGCATTGTTGTGGGGACCGTTCATACCCAAACCCTACATGTCCACACATCTAGGGGAGAGCATCATGGGTTCAATTTCTGTGTTTTCCAGTTTTTTCACTAAGCCATTACAAATTAAAGTATACATGGATGATTTACCATTTTTTCTTTTTTATTAATTTATTTTTACATTCCAGTCCCAGCTCCCCCTCCCTCCTCCACTCCTTTGTTCAAATTATCACTCCTCCCTCAGTTCATTTGTACTCCGGGAGCTTGGCCCATTGGTTAGTTGTGGATTTCTGCATCTGCTTCCATCTGTTTCTGGAAGAGGGCTCTAGGTTCTCTGGGGTTGTGGACTATAGGCTGGGTATCTTTTGCCTTATGTCTGGTATCCACTTATGAGTGAGTACATACTATATTTGTCTTTCTGGTTTTGGGTTACCTCACTTAGGATTTTTTTTTTTTTCTAGTTCTGTCCGTTTGCCAGGAAATTTTAGGATATCATTGTTTCTTCCCACTGAGTAAATATACCATTGTGTAAATATACCATGTTTTCTATATCCATTCTTCAATTGAGGGGCACATAGGTTATTTCCAAGATCTGGCTATTATGAATAATGTTGCTATGAGCGTAGTTGAGCAAATGTCCTTGTGGTGTGAGTGTGCCTCCTTTGGGTATATGCCCAACAGTGGTACTGCAGAGTCTTGAGGTAGGTTGGTTCCTAATTTTCTGAGAAAGCACCATACTGATTTCCACAGAAGCTGTACGAGTTTGCACTCCCACCAGCAATGGAGGAGTGTTCCCTTTTCTCCACATCCTCTCCAGCATAAGCTGTCATTGGTGTTTTTTATTTTAGCCATTCTGATTGGTATAAGATGGAATCTTAGAGTGGTTTTGATTTGCATTTCCCTGATGACTAAGGATGTTGAGCAATTTCTTAAGTGTCTTTCTGCCATTTGAGATCTGTTGAGAGTTCTCTGTTTACATCTTAATTTTTAAAATGTAATTCTTCTACAAAAAAAGTTTTTGTCATCTGTTATGGTCATTGTCGAAGATCAGAATGTGGCAGTTGGCCTGGACTAAATCTGCAGTTAGATGTGGAGGTTCGTGCCTCTCATCCCAGTACCTGAGAGTTGGAGGCAAGAACATCAGGAGTTCAAGGTCATCCTTGACTACAGAGCAAATTTGAGGCCAACCTAGCTTACACAAAACATTGTCTCAAAAAAGAAAAGAAAAGCAACCAACAGACCCAAATGTGGCTCTTTGGCTCAGTTCAAAGATAGTCCAGGAACAAACCTAAAGGACAACACCTAGGACAAATAAATGTATGTCTCCTGTGGAGACCTCCTAGGGGACAAGAGTTTGGGACTGAGGGCTCTCCCTAAAACACCCATTACCTTTTAGCCACTAGAGGGCACCACTATCTCTCTTTTTGGTAGGTAGGCCAAATATGTATTGACTTGGTACATAATTGATGGATGTAGTAGGGTCCTGCATTCTTCTAATGGGATGCTGGTTTCTATGCACTACATCAGGAAGGTATTGCCTAGCCTAGCTCTTCATTCTTACCATGGTATCTTTTTTTAATTATTTTTTATTGGTTCAAATTAGGAACAAGCTTGCTTCACATGTCAATCCCTTCTCCCTCTCCCTCCCCTCCCCACAACCCTCCCCTCCAGTCCCCTACCTGTCCCCCAACCCATCCACCCTCCACTCCCCAGGCAGGGGAGGGCCCTCAATGGGGGCTCCCCAAAGTCCACCACATCATCCTGGGTCGGGCCTAGGCCCTCCCCCATGTGTCCAGGCCGAGAGTGCATCCCTTCACATGGGATGGGCTCTCAAAGTTCTTACACCAGGGAAAAATACTAATGCACTACCAGGGGCCCCCTAGAGTGTAGAGGCCCCCTCATTGACATCCATGTTCAGGGGTCTGGATCAGTCCTGTGCTGGCCTCCCAGACAGCAGTCTGGGGTCCATTTACCATGGTATCTTACAGGTTCTCCAGTTAGGTATACCTGTGTATAATAGGAAGAGCACACACACTTGCACACACTTGCAGATTGAACACACTGTGCCTAGGATAATATTATGTGATTTGCAGCTACATAAGTGGGAGTAACCACTCTGTATCTTTTTCAGGCTGAACATCTAACCAGCTGCTACTGGGGGGGGAGCAGCAATGCCCTGGACCGGCATGACCCCAGCCTGCCTTACCTGGAACAGTACCGCATTGACTTTGAGCAGTTCAAGGGCATGTTTGTGCTTCTCTTTCCCTGGGCATGTGGCACTCATTCTGATGTGCTGGCTTCCCGCTTGTTCCAGCTGTTAGATGAGAATGGGGATTCCTTAATTAACTTCCGAGAATTCGTCTCTGGGCTGAGTAAGGATGCTATATTCTTGCATGAGTTGGGTGGGGCTGTAACCAATTTTATGATCTTTCCCATTAATAAATCACTTATAATACATATAGCTATTAATCTAACTGATGCATTTGAAACCATTGTGTGTATTAGCATATGTAGTTTTATGTGTGTCATGGGGTCCCAGTGTCAAGATCACTGGTAGATTTTTCTGTTATCACCCAGAATTACAAAGGGGAAACTGAGGACAAAGAGAGCCCCGCTCTTCAATAGCACGCCATTAAGTACAAAGCACTAGAACCAAACCTCCTGGTTTGAGACTCTTAACCCAAGCATGTCATAGGCAAAACTTTTGTGACACAATACCTTGGCTTGACTATATAAAAAGTAAACTTTTTTGAGAGCTCTCTAAGTCTGGGGCAAGGCTAACTCATAAGACACATTTCACACCAGTTCTTCCATGATTTCTAGGTGCTGCATGCCATGGGGACCTCACAGAGAAACTCAAACTCCTGTACAAAATGCACGTCTTGCCAGGTAAGTGGGCCACACAGAGTAGCGTGCATCCGGTACCCTGGACCTGGCTCTACATCTCTTCCTTTGGTGGCACCTGTCTGCCTGTCATTCTTTCCAAAGTCCAAGCCAAGTTGCTATTCTTCACATGAGCTCCTAAATGAGTGTGTCCTTGATTTGGTTGTTACTTGCCTGTCTCAGAAATGAGTTGGGCTCATAGAAAATATCACACCTCTCTTCAAGAGAATGACTCAGAGCCTTTGGTGACAGGTGGGACACAAGTATTCCAAGGGGGAGAATGAGACCCTGAGGACTTGTCTTGAGGAGCAGTTTTAACATTGGTGGGAAAAGATGGGCACGCTGCTGAGGCTTGGGTTTCAGTTTTAAACCAATCTATCAAATAATAATAAAAATAAACAAATAAAAGTGAAGGCAGATTAGCACTCACACCCCAGATGGGAGTAAATGTGGGTGTATATAGCAGACAGCATCCTACAACTGACCCATCAAGTGTTATTTTCAAAGTCTTTGGGAAATTGCCCCATAGAGAGGAAAATGCAGAGGGACACTGGTGTGGAGTTAAGATGCAGTTAAAAACAAAGTAACCCTCACAGAGGCCTTCAAGGTGCCTCTGTCCTCCGAACCACTTTGATGACTTGGGATTTTGTCCTTCCACTGTCATTTTCCTGAGTAAGGAAGCTTGTTGTTGAGTCACAGCCCCAACACTCTCCCACAGAGCCGTCCTCTGATCAAGATGAACCCGACTCTGCCTTTGAAGCCACTCAGTACTTCTTTGAAGACATCACCCCAGAATGCACACACGGTGGGTGATGTTTCTCACTACAGGGACTGTGTTCATGTCCTGTAGAGCCTGCCGTTACTGAAGAAAGGCTTAGCTCCAAAGTTAGTCACAGAAGGGTGTAAATTAGGATATCTAATATGGGCCTTCATGTTTTTGAGGGTAAGCACCTTGGGCATCAGGTCCCATACCCACTGCATCCTGCTGATTCAGCAAAACTCTGGCTTGCAGTGCCACACACTTCTCTCCCTCCCCACCTTCTAACATTGTGTAGTTGCCACACCACTATCCAGAATTACCTCTGCCATTGGTTTAAGAAGCCCTTATCAGACTAGGAGGGTGGCTTGGGCTTTAAAGGGCCTGCCATCAGGTGGAGGACTAGAGTGTAACCTCCAAACCCACATTATAAAACAAGTGAGACGTGCGTAGCATGCACTTGGAATCTCAGCTCTGAGGAGACAAAGGCCACAACCCCCGTCGCCCGACCTAACGCACAAGCACCAAGCCAAAACCAAGGTAATGGCATTCCTGAGGAACACACCCAAGTCTGTCCTCTGACTTTTGCACACACACACACACACACACACACACACACACTGCTAGTGTTGATGCACTTGAAGGAAGAGTTTTTAAAAATTGAAAGAAGACATTGTCATAATTTGTCTATGCCCTATATAACAGCTGCAAAGCAAAGGACAGCTCATGGGCTAGACCCAACCCACTGGCTGTTTTGATCTCATGAACTCAGAAAGCTGTTCATGTTTTAAATTTAAAAAAAAAATTTAATGCGGGTGTCAGTGGGAGACCTCAGAAATCTATGGGGTCCCTTGTAGTGGATCAGTACTTATCCATAGCATAGGAATGGACTTTGAGAGCCCATTCCACATAGAAGGCTACTCCCTGAGCCTAGACACACCGGGTTGGCCTAGGCCCTATCCCAAAGGATACGATAGACTCTGAAGACACCCTATGGAAGTCCTCATCCTACCTGGGGAGCAGAAAGGGTATGGGATAGGTTGGGTGTTAGTGGGAGGGGATGGGGGAGAGGCAGGGAAGGAGGGGAGGAGGGGAGGGAGAGGGCCTGGGATTGATGTGTAAAATAATCTTCTATTTAAAATTAAAAAATTAAAAAAATTTAAGTCAGATGTAACATATTTCCTGCCGTGTAAAAAGTACATAAAATGTGAGCTCTAGTACTGATAAAGTTGAAAGGGCACACCCATGTTCTCATTCAATCTGCGCCTCAATAACAGTACCAAGAATTATAGCAGAAAAATATGGCCTGCAAAGGCTAAAATCCAGGCCAGACTCTGTATCCACAGTCACAGATGCAGCCAATTGTTTATTGAAATATATTCAGTCATAAACAGTCGTCTAGATTGAACATGTGCAGCCTCCTTTTTTTTTTTTCTTGCTGTATCTAAACAAGTGCAGTAGAGCCTGCTTTTAAACCTCAGGTGGGTGCCAAGGAGTTGGCTGGAGAAAAGGGAACCAGACTCTGCTGTCTTTTGATTTGCAGTACTGTTAAGGGTAGGAGCTCAGACAGTGGGCTAACTCTGCATATTGTTGCCTAGGCGACTACAAGCAGAATCCTGACTCTAAGGCTCAGTTTTTCTGTGGATAATGGAGATGATAACTGCCAAATTGTGGATGTTGGAGACCTAATGAGATCACACATGGTCCTGAGCATACCTACTGTTCTTCATATGGGCAGTCATGCATCTGCAACACATTGGCCTTACCTTGCCAGGGATGCCCATTTCAGAGAGGAGTCCCCTCTTAATGCAAATGCTTCTGAGACAGTCACATGCCACACTATGGAGGGTCCTTAAACAATGCTGGATGGTCACATGCCACACCTCTGAATGTCCTTAAACAATGCCTGTTCAGAGTGCTTTTCTAATCCCAGAAGCACTATTGTTTCATGGTAGATGTTTTGAAATATAGATTAAAATATGCAAGATAGACTGGGCAGTAGTGGCACACACCTTTAATCTCAGCACTCAGGAGGCAGAGACAGCTGGATCTCTGTAAGTTTGAGGCCAACCTGGTCTACAGAGCTAGTTGTAAGACAGCCATAGCTACACAGAGAAACCCTGTCTCAAAAGCAAAAACAAACAAATTTATACACACACATACACACTCACACATACACACACACATGCTAAAAATCTTACACAATTAGTAATTATTCATATCTTAAAATACTGCTTTTCTTTTTTTCCTATACAGTGTGTGATTATGTATATACACAATATATCCATCTAAAACTGGGGTCAGACTACTTAGACAATTTGGGGTTTTGTATTTGCTAAAATGCTAGAGTCAGAAGCCAGGACCTTGCACATAGAAGGATTCTCCCAGCCTTGTTTTTGTTTTGTTTTTTAATTTCATTACATTGTGTGTGTGTGTGTGTGTGTGTGTGTGTGTGTGTGACATGGTTGGAGGTCAGAGGACAACTTTCGGGAATCAATTCTCTCCTTGTGCCATGTGGATGCTGAGACTCAAACTCTGGGCCCCTGCTAGAGCATGGTAGCTTGAACAGCTGAGCTGTCTGCCAGGCAGTGTTTCAGTTTCTGTTTGCTAAATCAGGCCACTGTGCCTGTACAATCTTCATGTTCTACAGCTAAGCCTGTGGTATGCTCTATAACGCCCTTCTTTCTTTCCAATATCCTCTGGCAGTCGTTGGGTTGGACAGCAGAAGCAAACAGGGTGCAGAAGATGGCTTTGTCACCGTGAGTCTGAAGCAGGACAAAGGTACAGCTGTCTTCCTCCCTATTTACCTGTTTGCTGCCTGAGTTCTTGTTTCCCATCTACAACCCTCATCTCTTGGCATTTGGTTGTAGGAAAGAGGGCAAATTCTCAAGAAAACCGTAATTATCTGAAACTCTGGACTGCAGAAAATAAGTCAAAATCAAAAAATGCCAAGGATTTGCCCAAGTTGAATCAGGTAAGAGACTATAAAATTTAAAATAAATACTGTATTGTTTTTGTGATTCTGTTTGTTTGTTTGTTTTTAAGACAGGATGTCATATGGTCCAGGCTGGCCTCCAACACACTAAGTAGCTGAGGATGACCTTGAATTTCTGATCCTCCTGCCTCCACCTCCCAAGTGCTAAGGTTACTGGCATGTGCCCACCACATCCAGTTTATGTAGTGTTGGGCATTGAAGCCAGGACCTCATGCATGCCAGGCAAGTACTCCACCAGTCAAGTGATCAACTACATCTCCAGTCCTGTTTAGATTTATTTCTTTTCCATCAAAATTGTGCTCAGCAGTGACAAAATGTTCTCCTAAAAGAAAATCTGAACAATGAAGTACTCAGTTTGAGGATCCATACACCCATTCCTATCAGTAGAATTACCTTCAGACACTCAAGCTCATGCTGTCTTCATATCACTGTGCTCTGCAATAGAAATGTCTGACACATTTTCCTTAAAAGCTAAGACATAACTGGAGGAAGGATGTAAGTGATGATGTAATCATGAAATGGTGTACTTCCTGCTAAGGAGAAGACGGGGCACCAGGCCTCACTTCTGTGTCAAGGCTATTAGAGCTCACCTTGGGAAAATCTCCAAAACTTCAGAGATGGAAGACAAGACCAGTCTTCTGCCTGCTTAAGATTCTGAAGCAAGGAGAAAAAGATAATAAAGAAAAAAACATGATGTAGTGCCTAGTATGGCAGTCCATGCCTGTAGTCCTGGCCCTGGGGAGGCAAACGTGCTGGCCCATGCACAGTGGAAAGAAGATAATGAATTTGAAGCTAGCCTGGGCTACATGGGAAAACTCTGTCTCAAAACAACCAAAGTGGAGGGGGCAGCAGAAGAAAAAAATTAAGCAAAATATAGCTTAGTCATTGTGTGTGAAGGGTATGTTTTCATGTACACGGGTGCACACATGTGGGCACATGTGTAGATACACACACATATGGAGGTCAGAGGATAGCCTCAGCTACCAGCCCTCAGGAGCAACCCACCTTGTGTTCTCAGACAGTCTCTTATTGTTCCATAGCTCACTAAGCAGGCAAAGGTGGCTGGCCAGTGAGGCAGCCCCAAAGACTCATCTTTCTCTGCCCCCACACCAGTTCTGGGACAGGACTGTGCATGCCACCACACCTTCCTCCCCTTAAAATATGGGTTCTTAGGATACTTCATGACAAGTACTTTAGCCACTGAGTCATCTCCCCAGCCTCTGCCATAGTCATTCTTGACTCTTGGTGATGAGTCTATGAAGGCTTTTATCATTTCACTCTTGCTAGTTTCGTGGATGTTTCAAATTTTTTAATTAAAAAAGAAATAGACTAATAAAGAGACCCTGACAGTGGGTCCCTCACTTCTCCATAGAGCATTTTCCTGGGAAGTTTAAGAGTCATGGTTTCATGGTTACTTAGTCCTTATTCTTAGCACCTCACCTTCCCCGCTCATTCTCCAGGGGCAGTTTATCGAGCTCTGTAAGACTATGTACAACATGTTCAGTGAAGACCCCAATGAGCAGGAACTGTACCACGCCACAGCCGCAGTGACCAGCCTCCTGCTGGAGATTGGAGAGGTGGGCAAGTTCTTCATTACTCAGCCTGTCAAGGAGGATGGGGTTACCGGGCCACCCTGCAGCCAGGCTATCCCAGGCATGCTCTTCCCCAAGAAGGGGCCCAGCCAGCCCTACACGGTGGAATCCACAGAACCACTCCCAACCAGCCTGGCAGTTGACAGTGAGGAGCACTCCCTGGGAGGGCAGATGGAGGACATTAAACTGGAGGACTCCTCACCCAGGGACAACGGGGCCTGCTCCTCCATGCTAATCTCCGATGACGATACCAAGGATGACAGCTCCATGTCATCCTATTCGGTGCTGAGTGCCGGCTCCCACGAGGAGGACAAATTGCACTGTGAGGACATTGGGGAGGACACCGTTCTGGTGCGTAGCAGCCAGGGAACAGCTACCCTGCCCAGGAGCAGCAGCCTGGACCGGGACTGGGCCATCACCTTCGAGCAGTTCCTAGCCTCTCTCTTGACAGAGCCTGCCCTGGTGAAGTTCTTTGACAAGCCGGTGTGCATGATGGCCAGGGTCACCAGTGCAAAGAACATGCGTATGATGGGTAAACCCCTCACGTCGGCCAGTGACTATGAAATCTCTGCCCTGTCTGGCTGATTCGGGAAGGGAGGCAAGAGAGGTTTTTATGTTCTTCTGTGTTGGGGGGTTTTCTTTTCTTTTCAATTAAATATTTATTAGTACCTGGCTTGAAGCCTAGTGTTTTCATAATACAATGCAATGAAAACTGATGAGAACTAGATAAACACCCCAAAGTAAGGCACTAGCAGTCTGCCTGTGGGGTACGGCAACCAGAATCTAGTTTATTCTGTGAATCCCTCCCCAAAAAAACCCAAACTGTCCTTGATATGTGTATTATAACTTAGTACTCTTGCTGTTCAGCTGTATCCATGGTGTAAAAATAGTGCTGTTGGATGCTGATAGACAGCTGTGCTGTGTTTTCGGGCTCCAAAATAAAATTAGGTCTGGGAGGAAAATGGAGTGTTGCGAACACAAGGCTGTTTTTAGAAGGAAAGGGCATTGTCAGCTGGGGTAAATCTTGAACTACTTTAGTAAATCCTAAAAAAATATTTTTTAAGATTGGAAATATATTTCATAAAAATCCTCTATCCAAAAGTCATATTCTACACTGGTCCCCCTTCAAGGAGAACACATTTGGGTTCCAAGAAGTTATGAAAATATAAACGATTCTTACATGATGCTAGAATGACATATTTGATCACTTTGGACGGTGACATCTTGCTCTGATTATTTATATCAGCTGGCCAGAAAAACACAGGAGCCATCTGAGAATCCGAATGTGAAAGCCTTGAGGACCCAGGATGACACGGGATCAGCTTTCTGTTTCAAGTTTTGTTTTTGAAGGGCTAGAAATCCTGATGCTTCTCATACTGGGTTTTTAGATTCTTGTCATTCATTGAAAATACCGCAAAACAGTAACAAAAAGTAAAACAATGATCTTTACCATGTCCATACTTTCTGTAGAGTCAAGAAACTGTCATGTATCACGTATGACCAACTTGCCATTAAGTCGGTGTAGACGTTATGTATGCAGAGAAGGGATTCTGCAAGTAGCATAACTAGATGTTTAAAATGGAACTTGTCACTTTATATAGCAGAATAGAATGTTCTATCTCCTGAAGGGATGTGGAAATCAAAGCTGGCACACCTGCACTTTGAATTCTTGCTCTGTTAGTACTGTTATGCCTTTGTTCGTTACAGACCCTGGGAAACTTCCCGCCTTACTCTTGACCTCACAATCATGTTCACATTTCCTTTGCTGATTCTGACATTCTTTCCACACACTCCCTGCTTTTATTACATAGCCTGTCCTTCATTTAGCCGTTACAGCTGTAATTTTTTATTTTGTTTACAGATGGTTTTTAAATTATCAAATGAAGTAGTATGACCTCAACTAGGATAAATGTGAACAAATAAAATACTTCAGATATGGTCTTGTGTCTTTGTGCTTGAGTCTCTGCCTGAGACCCTATGTTGTTTATTTTGTAGGGAAATTATCAGTAGATAGTTATTTTGACTAAGTAAAATTTTATGAGAGAATATTTTGAGGAAAGAAAGTGTGTAGAGCTGAGAAGATGGCTCAACAGTTAAGTGCTTGGTGTGCTTGGATCCCCAGGACCCAACTAAAGCACGCTGTAGTTAGCAGTAGGCATCTGTAATCCTAGTGCTCTATGGTGAGACAGGACATAAAGACAGAAGAATCACCAGATGTTCATGGGTCATATAGCCACCAGCAGCAAAAACAAATAAAAAGAGCTCCTATCTCCATATGCAAACTGTGGTAAATGTGGACTCATGCACAGGAAGGCACACCCCAGACACTTACATATAAACACAATACAGAGAGAGAGAGAGAGAGAGAGAGAGAGAGAGAGAGAGAGATTTTTTAAATCTTCCAAGAATGTTTGAAACAAACAAACAAAAGGTAGTTGTTAGCAGTTGCCTAATTTTAAATGCTTGGAGCTGGAGAGATGGTTCAGCAGTAAGAGCATTTGCTGCATTCCCCATACTGGCCTATGAGGACCACTTTCATTCAGACCACCACAAATAACAAATGGCCAGCTCTGAAAACATACACATACCAGCAACATTATACAAGTTGTACTTGTGTATTATGTATGAAGGTGTGCCTGTCTGTGTGTGGCAGTTAATGGGGAAAAAGAGGCCATGAATGGGGAGGGGTATGAGGAGTTTTATATGGGAGCATTTGGAGGGAGGGTTAGGAAAGGGGGAAGATGTGATTATAATGTCTACAAGAAAACACTTTTAAATGGCCTGTAACTGAAGCTCCAAGGGGAGCTGATCCCTCTGGCCTCTGTGGGCACCTACACTCAGGTCATATACACAATTTAAAAAGTAAGAAAAAATTTAAAATACTAGTGTCACATGTCAGAACAGAAATACCCGTACCTGGTCCTTATTCATGTCCTACAATTCATGTTTGCTATGCATTTAGTTGCATTGTTTTGAGTCAGTGTCTGACTTAGGGTATTGTCCCATTATCCCATGTGTACCCCCTTTAAAGATCATTTAAATATGCCTCAAGAAAGAATCCAGGTTTGACCCCCCACGTGCCAAACACAGCAGAGGGACTGGAGAAGGGACCTTTAGAAAAGAAATGCAATGCAGCATTCCAAGTGCGTTGAAGGGACTCTCCAGCTGAAAGAGCAAGGTGATGTGGGCAGGGTGGCTGGACACCGAGGGCCTCATCTCTGCTGATGGAACAATCCTGTTGTGGTGTTGGCGTGATGTTTTCAAGCATATTCGGGTGCTTTTCCCTGCAGCAGCTGTGTGCTACACAACGGTGGTTAGTAGTCTGTTTTCTTCTAACAGCGACCAGTGCAGGAGCTCCTGGCCCTGAAGTTGTTTCCATCTTCATCTGTGAAGGAACAGGCAGATTATCAGCACATTCACTGTGTCAGAACCTGAGAAATCCCTTTCCCTGCTGGCCTCTCAGATCTGGTCATTTCAGACAGCTGTTGCCAGGGTCTCTGTGACTATAATGGAAAGTAAGAAGGCAGTTCAGGGCTCAACACAACTCAGTAACTGGTGTTGGTTTGAACTTCGTAAGTCTGACCCCAAGTAGTTTATTTTAGGCATATTTAAGCATAGCACAATTTGATGAAAATTACTCTGGTGATGGTTAACTCAATTCCACATGCACAACAAAGTATACATGCATCTGCTTGAGGAACAAAGAAAGCTAAATGCAGATCAGACGTGACTACATTCAAACTCTTGTAAAGTCCATAAAGATAGGTTCTATAGATTGAGGAAAACAGGGTTACAGTAAGGGTCTAGAGAGGGTCTGGTGGCAGGAAAAGTCTCTGGACACAGGCAACCCAAAGGTCACCAGGCCAGAAGGCAAACATCCACTTCAGACTTCTGGGAGGATAACAGGTATTGCATTCTTTCTCTTGAAGGAACAACCCTGTATGGACCCTATTCTGCTAATGCCTCCTATGAGTTCACACACAGACCTCTCTAAGCTGTGTTCCTCCCCCTGCCTTACAGTGATGGAGTCATGTGATCTGCTCAGTCTCCCCACTTAGGACTTGCTCACCTGAGCTCACCCACTCTGATATTTATAACTCTGTCTGTCTACCACTGACATCCGATGTCGCTCAGCCCAGGCCTTCCTCCTAAACTGGCTCCCTTTAGATACACTGGGGTTTCAGTAGCTATTAACAGCTGTGACAATAAGAAAAAAGATGAAATCTCTGCTCTCATTGCCTGAATTTTATCATATGTACCCCCATAGCCATCACTATTTTCTCTCCATAGCATAGTTCTCCTAGTTACTTCTTAGCTCAACTAATAACATTGATATCCATTTAGTATATGAAGCCAGGCATCATTCTTAATACCTCTTGATTGCTTATACCCACTGTAGTGGTTAGTTTTGTCAGATAGGCACAATCTAGACTTAGAAAGAGAGTCTCAATGAGGGACTGTCTAGATGAGGTTGACCTGGGGGTTGTCTTGATTATCTTAATTAATATATGGAAAGACCCTGCCCACTGTGAGTGGCAGCATTCCCTGGGCTGGGTTCTGGAGTGTACACGAGTGGAGAATGTGAACTGATTAATAAGCAAGCATGCATTCATTTCTCTCTACTCTTACAGTGGGTGTTATGTGACTAGCCACATCACATTCCTATCTTGACTTCCCCACAAAGCTGAGATGAACACTTGTGTCCTAGGTTGGTTTTTGTCAGGATATTTTATGAAAGCAACAGAAATGAACCTCAGAGGCCCACCCCTAGTTACTGAGTGCAGCCACCGTTTCTTCTGGTCTCCCCTAGAACCCCTGCTCCCCTGGCATTAACTACACAATGGAACTCAGCCTTGTTGCTATTGATTGATCCACGAAAACATCTGTGCACTCATAAATAGTTAGCACGCCCCCTTCCCTCCCACTTGTGCGTACTTATAAACCACATTTCCAATCGTATTCTGCTCTATTAGGTGTGCACACGTGCACTGTGTGTGCAGGTGCTTATGATGTGTATGTTTGAGTGTGGTGCACACATACCATCTCCATGAAGGTTGTAGCAAAACTTTTAGGAGTGAACTCCCCCCCCCATCATGGGTTTCAGGGATCATACCCAGGTTGCCAGGCCTCTGCAGCCTCTGCCTTTCCCTAGTGAGCCATCTGCCATTGCACTTCAAGGGTGGTTTTCGCTTTTTTAGTCAGCATATAAAGTAACGGTTTTTCTTATGTCATTTTCATAGATGGCTCTCATCGACTCCTCCCCCTGCTCCTCCTCCTCCCTGGCTCATCCCCCTCTACCCCAGCATCCCCTCCCACTTTTATTTCACGTGTGCTGTACTACTCGCCTCAGCCTCCCTCTCTCAAGACCCCTTTCCTGCCTCTAGTGGTCCCTAGCTAGTTTCTGACCTTATTGTAATTCCTGTCACACAAATACACACACATAGAAGCTAAGCTCCAAAGGTGATGTGGATGAGTTGGGGCTACCTAATCTAATATTTTTCAGTTCCATCAATTTTCCTTGCAAATGACATAATTTCACTCCCCATGACACCTGGGTAAAATCCCATTATGTTTACCTAACAAAG